TTCATTCTCGAGTAAACGCTCGCAAATAGCACGGCTGCTCCAGTGATCGTCCGAGCGAAATTTTGTATTAATCGACGCGGACGAAATGCCGCTCTTGCATCCCAGTTTTCAAATCGTTTTATTTTTGCATTTTATTTTTATGTTTCAAATAAAATCAGCCAAATATTTTTTTAACATGACTAATAAAAATTTAAAAGTCATTCTATCGCCCGAATAAATGTCGGAAATACAACATATCAAATATATCAAAAACTAAATTCAATAAAATTTGCATGTGCAAACAAAACAGGCGGGCGCTGTCGAATATGCTAAAGCTGCAGAAAAAGGGCTCCGCAGAACCATTCCGTCAGTCGGTCTAGTTCCCTCATAAAGCCTACCGTCGAGCCAGACACGTGTTACCGCGGAACACGTGCCTCTTCGACAACGAATCACCCAGCTCTCATAATCCACACAGCGTTCATTGATCGGCACGCGCTGCTGCTCCACGACCTGGAAATCCCGCCAATAAAGTGACCGCGTCCGGCAAAATGAGAATCGTCGGGTGATGTATTATTACAAATAATGTGTTGTGCAGTGTATATTGCGTCCCCTAAGTTAGAAATTCCATTTGTTTCACAATTCCGATTATTTTACACAATATTTTTAGAAAACCATTGTAACATTAAGAACAAAATTCAGATAAAAACATCTTTTTGTAAAAATTTGTCCATATATTTCAACAATCTCTTTCTAGACGAGTTAAAAAAAGAGCTAAAAATTGTGTACGACAGTAGCCTGTCACTTTAAAAAAAATTTATACACAAAGTATAGCTTACTTTTTTCTGAAAGCGTAATGATTTGCTATTTCTAACAATTAAACTGGCCTCTTCTATCACTACTGAATCAGCTAAACACACACCTTTCTCGCTGAGTGGAAAGCAACCGTTGTGGAAACTCAACGGGGGGCTCCGGGGCGCGCACCGATACACCGGGTTGAGGGTTAATCGACTGATCCTACGATCATCCGGCGTGCTCGAGCTAAGTCGCTTTGCCTTTCGCTCCTGAATTCTTAGGTTCGTAAAAGAGGTAGTGTCGCGAGATTCAGCAGCGGCGGCGCGTGTTACATTGCCTTGAATAAGCGTGTAATCCCCGCAGTGGTCATTCAGCA